AAACTTATTATTGTTTTTTCAATAAATCATGAAGGAAAAAGGCTTTTGGTTCCCTTTGACTTCCTTCTCTGAGTTGGGTACCTTGTTCATAGCCAAATCAGCCAGCCAAAAAGAATTAGTAGTGGTAGTAGTAGTATCATCCTCCTCCTCCTCCAAATAAACTTATATTGACCACATCAAAGTAAATATTTCAGTACTTTGTGTTTTATGTATAAACACACTTAGTTGAGTGAACCCTGTGGCCTTTTGCCCCTTTCATAATAACTCCCTGATTAATTCAGCAGACTTGAAAGACAATTCTATTTCTATTTCATGTCCCATGAAACTGTTATAGACAGTCCCAGGACTTCTGTGCTTTTCCCCTTCCTCTCTTCCTGGCTCTGTTCATTCCTTCTGGTCTCTCCAAAGATTTACTCTCACTAAAAAGGCACTATCCAAAAAAAAATCTTTCAGCATATACATTTTATGTCCTTAATAAAGAACACAAAGAATTTGGCTACCTATACCTTATGGCTGTTAAGCAAACTGCTGAACTATCAGCGTAAAAAAAGATATCCCACCTGAACATTTCTGCAGACATATCCCCCTAGAAAAATGTTTTTAACAAAGTAAGTCTATTTCTCCAAATTCCCCTGTAATTCAAGACTCGGTTAGGACCTCACTGCTAGAGACACTTCTTGCAGTAGGAATATCTATAGTACAATCAAGCTCTCGAAGTTTGGGTACATCTGTATTACATATTCAGTTAAGTATTTTTAAACCTATATTTAAAACTGCTTTCCTGAAACCTAATAGACCCATTTCTTTTCTCTTTAATTAAGAACTAATCCTTCAAAAGTAACCTTTGGACTTGTAACATTAAAGCAGATGTAATACAATGATACAGACATCTCTGTATTCATTTACTTGCAGAGACAGATCTATGCACTGTAAATATGTATTATCAAATATCTACAGATAAGCATTTCTTTATTTCACATCAATAAAGGGAACACACACTTCAGCATTCCTTTCTGATATTACTGTTGACGGCCAAATCACGTATTTGCGTTACATACTTACTTAAACCAGAACAAAAAGAGAGCTGCATTAAGGTCTGAAAAGTTATGCTCAGCTTATGATGGAATCAGACAGATGGGAAACAAGATATTAAAAGCCACAAGGTGAGCAGACAAAGAGAAGAGACAGAATTTCAAAAGATTTTTTTCAAGATAACACATCAAACATAATTTATTACAATGAGTTCACTGAGTCAATCAATCATTTACATGCAAGTTCAACAAGTGTATATGAATAACAAAAGAAGACAGGTAACTGGACAGAGGAGAAAATAACATTTTAATTATATTCTTTACTTTCTTCTCCCTCCAATTTTGTGTCCACTTCCCTGCCACAAGTCAGAGCCTTAACAAGGCTCTGACTCTTAGCCAAGTTAATTTTTTTTTTCCCTCATTCTTTGTTTACTTTTTCTTAAAGTAGGCATGCAGACTGTCTTTTAGGAGCTTTGAGACACAGGCATTTTACAGCAGCACAGATAACTTATTTTACACTATACTACTGACCTAGTAACCCAAATATTAATTTATAACTATGTAGAAAAAATCATCCTGGTAAATTTCATTGCATTCTGTTGTGCAAAGGCCAATAATCTTCCACTTACACCTTTCCATACTTCTGGTGACATGGAAAAAAGATATTTACATAAGAAATATTTGAACATAAGACCACAATCCTCATTTGGTGTACACTAACAAAGCTCTCAAAATCACTGATCCTGTGCTGGTATTTACCTAATGACTGATTTTACTTTTTTACATGTTTTCCCCTTTCCATGTTGCAATAAATAGTTTGACATTAATAAATCAACATTCAAGTTTTTTTAATTTTGCTTTTGCAGTTACCCCCCATCCCCCTTCCCATTTGTATATTTGTATTGAAGCTGCTTCCATGGACATGTGCATGGGGTGACCCTCAGCTCTTGCTTCTTGAGCGTTTTTTTCATTTAAAAAAAAAAATCAAAACAAAAAACCTCTATCTCTACCAAGAAAACCCCACTCCATTTAGAAGAAAACCCCACTCTGCCAGTTGAAGTCTAATTACATTTAGCCACAAGGGTTAATGAGAGTAGGAATAGGTTCTTACTAGTCTGCAATCACCTCACTGCTGCCATAGACAGTGCACGCATGTTTTATGTTACATCCTAAGCATTGACCCAACTGGTTCAGGACGTGGCACTGCGCCACAATGAACGGTGCTGTTCTACCAGTTTTTAGGCAGGCAACTGTGTTTCAAACTCCTGCAAGAATGAACTGGGCAGCAGGAACCACAGCCTTGCACAGAGGCAAGAAAGCTGCCACAATTCAAGGCAGCCCATTCCACAGGGGGCCAGCAGGAAGCCACAGCCTT